TGTGACCCACACTCGCAAATAGTGCTCTGCATTTATCCCACCCAAAGTGCACACACACAGCAGTGAACACACACACACACACACACACACACACACACACACACACACGGTGAACACACACCTGGAGCAGTGGGCAGCCATTTATGCTGCAGGTCCCGGGGAGCAACCTTGCTCAAGGGCACCTCAGTCGTGATATTGAAGGTGGGAGAGAGCGCTGTACATTCACTCCCCCCCACCTACAATCCCTGCCGGTACGAGACTCGAACCTGCAACCTTTGGGTTACGAGTCTGACTCTCTAACCATTAGGCCACGACTTCCCCGTTAGGCTACAGCTTCAGCTGAAGATGCTTACCTCTGTCACCTCTGTAAAAGCAGGCCTGCATGGAGGGTTGCTTGGCTGTGAAAATTCTGTTTTAAATTGTGTTATACTGCAGAAATCAGAGTCTGAGCGCAAAGAATGTATTTTTATTTTTAAAATGATTGATGCGCACTTGATTCAGAAGATGGCTTAGAAACATACATACACTGTCAGACCAGTTACTGCTGCCGCACATGCGCTGCTGGTGTCGTGCCTCTACTGTAGGATACTGTGCATTCTGCATTTATTCCATTTCCATTCCAAGAGCATTGTGGCACTCATAATAGCATGTTAGTCTGAATGTCAGCACAGCTTTGATTACATGTGTCTCGTGCCCACAGACAAGCTATTTAAGGAACAACAAAACTCTTGCCAAAGTCTCTTGCTGGTGTGAGATTGCTTAAATAGAGCCTTTAACCTAGGATTTCCTTGATATATTTAAGTTTGTGTACTGCTAGAAAATAGAAAAAAAAATCAGTGCTGAGTTTAAACAAAATAGCTTGTATTTAAGTTTGACCTCCTTAATTTGACAAAAAGGTAAAGGTTAATTACCTTTTTTTCTCACTGATATAGTGTTGAAAAGGAACACAAATGTGAAATTGAAATTGTATTTTTGACTAACCATATTTCAAAGACAGTATAATTATGCAATTACATATAATGTACTTAAATACCACTTAAGTGGAAAACACTACTATGTTCAACTTTTTGAATTTATTATAATTTTAAAGTATGATATATTATCATTAATCATTTAATTGAATATAATTTCAAGTATATTATACTGTAATAAGTACTCTTTTAAGTATGCTAAAGTGTACTTTTTCACAAGCACGATTGCACATTTAAACTGGTGATCACTGATCACTCTGTGAACAGCCAGCTTCTTTGGCAATTAATGTTTGTGGCTTACCCTCCTTGTGAAGGGTGTCAATGATTGTCTTCTGGACAACTGTCAGATCAGCAGTCTTCCCCATGATTGTGTAGCCTAGTGAACCAAACTGAGAGACCATTTTGAAGGCTCAGGAAACCTTTGCAGGTGTTTTGAGTTGATTAGCTGATTGGCATGTCACCATATTCTAATTCGTTGAGATAGTGAATTGGTGGGTTTTTGTTAAATGTGAGCCAAAATCATCACAATTAAAAGAACCAAAGACTTAAGCTACTTCAGTCTGTGTGCATTGAATTTATTTAATACACGAGTTTCACAATTTG